TTATAAACGAAAACAAACACCCGCGCGGTTGCGCGGGTCAAAATCTAGTTATATATTAAAAACGAATTTATGTTAATAATATTATATTTTTTAGAAAATATGTTAATTCTTTTGTATTAGATTGTTATCTTATAAAATATATTATTCAATTATTATTTTAGAAGTAAAAATTTGCTTAGTTGTCAAATTCTCCATGATTTTAGGTTATTTTGCTAATTTTCATATTTTAATAATTTATTATAAAATAAAATAAAAAGAATTTATGTTAATAATATTATATTTTTAGAAAATATGTTAATTCTTTTGTATTAGATTGTTATCTTAAAAATATATTTTTTAATTATAAAATTTAAGTGAATTTGCTGATTAATTTGTAACTTTCTGTGATTTAGGTAATCTATACTATTATTTGTGAATGATTTTTTGCAAGAAATCTTTCACGTTGAAAGTTAGAACGGTTAATATCGTTTATACCTTTAATGAATAATTAAAAAATTTAATATAATTAAACATAAATAAAAAACGAATTTCAATGATTTTAGATTTATCTTTATCTAAAACTATTTTATATTGGGTTATAAAGTTTTTATTAACCTTGAAAAATAATTATATTAGTTAATATACTTGAAAAATAACTATATTAGTTAATATATAATTGATTATAAATTAAAATTGAATTTCATTTATTTGATAATTATCCTTATTTTTTTATATATTATGTGATAAAGTCTTTATCAACCTTGAAAAATAATTATATTTGTTAACATATAATTAATTCTAAATTAAAAAATGAATCTCATGAATTTGATAATTATCTTTATCTAACTTTTTATATTGTGTTATAAAGTCTTTATTAACGTTGAAAAAATAATTCTATTTGTTAATATATAGTTAATTATGAAAAATCAATTTGCAAAGAATTTATGTATAGATAATTTATATTGTGTTATCCAAAACATTATTAAACATAATTTTTTATACTTTTTTGTTATGTCTAAAAACAATATTAATTTATTACTAAATGTTTCAAGTTTATGAGTATTTTCAAATATAAGTTGTGTAATGAAAATTATTTATATGATGATGAAAATTTTATAAATAAAAAGAATTTGTTTAGTTTATTAATAAATATTTTGAGTCTATGAACAATAATTTATTATAATTTACATAACTTGATTATATATTTATTTATAGATATTCGTAAAATTATTAAGCCCGCAAGTGCGGGCAAAACACCTAGTTTTTCTTATTATTTGTGGAGTTTTTCATGGATGCAGAATCCTTGCTTTGGTGCGTATTCAAGTATCACAGATCTATTGTTTGGTTTTGATGAGACAATTCTCCAGTCAGCTTTTGGGGTATGTTCGAATGTATATATATGCATATTATAGGTTATAAGTTTTAGAGATTATACTTCGGTAACTTGTTACTCAAGTAGATGCTCTTTTTAAGTTGTGTTTTATTGAAACTATTGGTTTAAATTAGGTTCCTGAGGAAATTATCGGTCTAATGAGAAACCGTACACAGCCGCCACTGATCGTGCATGACATGCTGAGCACACCAGGTGAGACCAACACCAACACGTGGCAGCTCCAGCTACGATTACTCAAACTCTTTGCCGGATATGTAAAGGGAGACTCGGTGATGAGAGCAGCAGTGAACAAGAAGAAGAAGAAGAAGACAAAGAAAGCAAAGACATTCAATGTCTTCGAATCAGAACCTGACTTCGAAAGCCCTAACGGTCGTACTCTAACGATCAACAAGAAAGATCTAAACGCGTTAAGAGGCTCAATGGTTGGAGTTTCCATGGTGAACCTAACTCAAGCATCGATGATGGGACCCCACTGGAACCCATGGGCTTGTGAGATCTCGGTGGTGTTGAAAGGGTCAGGAATGGTTCGTGTGCTTAGGTCTTCGGTTTCAAGATCATCATCATCATCAGAGTGTAAGAACATTAGGTTTAAGGTAGAGGAAGGAGATATTTTCGCGGTTCCACGGTTACATCCAATGGCTCAAATGTCTTTTATAGATGAGTCATTAGTGTTCATTGGGTTTACTACTTCAGCTAAGAACAACGAGCCACGGTTTTTAGCCGGACAGAACTCAGCTTTGCGGTTTCTTGACCGGGGGGTATTGGCTGCTTCGTTGAATGTGAGTAGTGTGATGATTGATGGGTTGTTGGGAGCTCAGAAAGATGCGGTTGTGTTGGGATGTCCTTATTGTGCGGAAGGAGAGTTGGAGAAGCTTAAAGTTGAGACGGAGATGAAGAAGAGAGATGATGAGAGGAAGAGGGAAGAAGAAGAGGCGAAGAAAGAAGAGGAAGAGAGGAGGAAACGAGAAGAAGAAGAGGAGGAGAAGCAATGGCCTCCACAGCCTCAGAAACCACCACAAGAAGAAATGTAACCATTGGTGGAGACGGTGATGAGAGGAAGAGAGAACAAGAAGAGTAGAAGTCAAGAGTGTTCGAAAGTTTGGTATTGTTGTCTCTTTGTTTATTTGTTAATGTGTTTCGTAGTGTTTTCTTCTTTTGGTTTATATGTTTACGTTCTGTATTGTATTGTGTTGTGATTTGTTTTGCTTAAATGTTTGTACAAAGATGCGGAATGTGAAATAATCAAAGATTTATCAAGCGATTGTAGACTGAAAATTTTAACTTTTCGACCAAAAAAAGACATTGTAGAGTGAAGATGTACACTTCTAGTTATTGAGAGTATTTGATAATTAACTCTGGTTAAGTTCACAACTATTATACTATAATGTATACGCTAGACCCTACCTCGTATCAAATTCATCAAAATAATTAAATATGTGACTCCGTCCACCAATTTATTTCGATGATATGTAGTAACAAAATGATCCCATCCCATGAGTCCATGAGGTCTATGAGACCTATCTAGTTTTATCACACTTATATCATAGGTTCATAACAACGTGACCACTTATTGTGAAAAAGTCTGGTGACTACTTAGCTTTATTAAGTTAAAAATTGTAATAATCCAGCATAATGCATATTCTCTCCTAATCTTAAGACATTAACTTGATTAGTTGACAAAAAAAAAAGACATTAACTTGAGAGAAGGGTTCCAAAAAAAAAACTATGTATTGCCTTTTTGTTACAAACAAGGCTTAACGAAACATCACCCAAAATATTATGAATGCCAAACTTCGATCAGTTTATCGCCTGTACCGATGTTGTTTAAAGTTGACGTACAAACGCAGAATCCCACGTTCAAACGTGCATCTGAAACCTTTCTTTTGAGAATATTCCCATTCTTGATTCACAATCCGGAAGGCAATGTCTTGATAAGGCGGACCAGCATGGAACCGGATTATACAAGTTTCAGCGCTTGTCCCATCTTTTTCTATAGAGAAAACGGGAGCCTTGAACTTCTCTATTAAATCTGGATAGAAGATGTTAAACTTGTACCCTTGAACGGCTTTTGGAGGCGGTTTGTCGCGATCGTAGTGCGTTTGGTTATACTTATTCCAAACGTAACCTGTGTGAACTATGTTGGAATACGTTGGTTTTCTTGCCCGGTACTTGTCATGCCACCAGTATAACTCGGAATCAAGGTTCACTTCAGCACTAGAGTCTAATACAGCATCACCTTCCTCCATTGGAAACGAAAGATCTCAAATCAGTTGAATAACTTCTTTTATTGTTATAGAAACTTATCAAAATAAAACTCTCAATATTTTCTCTTAAATCTTATGAAACATCTCTACATTAGATCTATATTTATAGTGATAGACAATTCCTTTTACCTTGAGAAATATTGAAACACAAACATAATTTAAATAGAAAACTTCCTTTTTTCTTATTCTAGATTTCCTTTATATGTTTATCTTTTAACTTACAATAATCAATATGTTAACTTCCTCAAGCTTTGAATAAAATCGTTTTCTTCTTCTAATATATCCTTTTTGCTATTTTTCCAAAAAATATAATTCCCATTATTTTCGTCAAAAAAAAACAATTATCTTAATTTCTCTTTAACTCTTACACATTGAGGAAAGCCTTTTTTCCATTTAAACGTTGGATTGCTACAACAGAAACCCTAAATTCTCTAGAAGCTGAAAAAAGCGGTGCCTGAGATAGGAAATCCGCAAGCTACAAAGTATGGAGTTCATGCTATAGAGTCACTGGAGAGAACGGTGGCCACACTATTTTGTAATTGGTATATTTGTATTTGACATCGCGCATGATGTATTGTCAAAATTAGAGAAAATATTTTAAACTATACGCAGAAAATATCATAAACAATGCATTATTTTTCTTTCTTTTTTGTCATTATCTTTCGTTCTTTTTTGTCAATGGAGATTGATGGAGTTGTGTTGGGATGTCCTTATTGTGCGGAAGGAGAGTTGGAGAAGCTTAAAGTGGAGATGGAGATGAAGAAGAGAGATGATGAGAGGAAGAGAGAAGAAGAAGAGGCAAAGAAAGAAGAGGAAGAGAGGAGGAAACGAGAAGAAGAAGAAGAAGAAGAAGAGAAGCAATGGCCGCCACAGCCTCAGAAACCACCAGAGTATAAGTGGTGGCCGCCTCAGCCTCAGTGGCAAGCTGGAGAAGGATGAGAGAACGCAAAGATAGAGCTTTAAGTCAAGAGTGTTTAGGTTGTTGATGGTCGAAAGTTTGGTATTGTTGTCTCTTGCTTATTTGTTAAGAGTATTTGCACTCCATACACACACAAAACCTCCTATTTAGCTACATACCATATTTCTCTCTTCTTCTCCTATTACTATTTTTTCTCCCCCCCCCCCAAAATATGGCAAATCCTTAAATAGTTTATTCTTTTGGTATATTGAGCAAATTCACTCTTTGTTAAAAACTTAAAATGTTGTGTATTGCTTTCTTCTTTTAGTTTATATGGTTTACGTTTGTATTGTATTGTTTTATGTTGTGATTTGTTTTGTTTAAATGTTTGTACTTAGATACGGAATGTGAAATAATTACAGATTTCTCGAGACATTGTAGAGTGAACATGTACACTTTGGTAATTAACTTTTTGGTTAAGTTCACAACTTTTATACTATACACAGACCCTAGCTCCTATCAAATTAAGTAAAATTGTTAGATATATGTCTCTGACCACCAATTTACTTCGATGATATTTAGTAACAAATGACTAACTAATGTCCCATATCATATGAGTCCATGAGGTCTATGACCCCTTTTAGATGTGTCTTCAACTAGTCATTGAAGAACTAAATTAACTACTCGTTTAATAATCTTTGTAGCATACGTTTATAACATTGTGACCAAATATTGTGAAAAAATCTCGTGAGTAACTAGCCTTATAACAAAAGAAAAAAACACGCGAAAAATTGTATAATCTATCATTATATTTTTGCCTAATCCTTTTGATCAATACTATTTAATATTTCAGATGTCTTAAAACTTAAGCTTGTCTATCTCATAAAATCTCACTACTAAACATATTGCTTATTGAGTTGGTAAAGGGGAACATGAAAGAGCAAAACACCAAAAAAAAGAGATGCTCCAAATTTAAATTCAACATGTTGTGTCGTTCTTTGTTACCAATGTCTTTTTTCCAATGTGCATTTTTTTGTGCAAACTCTTTTTCAATTTCGGAAGGTATAAAAAAAGCATTATTAGTTACTCCTCCTAATATGCGAATCAAAGTGGACTTTATCGGTATACTTATGACACTTGATAAGAATTAAGTTTTGTAGATAACAACACACATATTTTTGGATAACTTTAAATGATTTTGTTTAACATTTGCTACTTGGTTTGATAATTATGAAAAAGTAACCAAATGTGAAACAAAATCACTTGAAACATTTGAATTACTAACCATGATAATTATGAAACACTAACAAAATGGTAATCATGATAATTATGAAACACTAACCAAATGGTTTCAAATGATAATTTATTAACCACTAACCAAATGGTAACCAAATGTTTCAAGTGTTATAAATAAAACAAGTGGTGCAATGGCTAGCTCGGATGACTTTTTGTCATGATGAATAGTATTTCGACTACTTATCATCATTTGACAAGAAGGAGTTGATTTTGAAAAGAAAGATTGTGATTGGTAAGCAAAATAAAGTAGATATGGAATGTGTCTGTTTTTCTGTTTTTACAAAAGTTTTGAAATGTACTAATTAATACATATATATCTTTTAATTCTTCAACAGATGTTGACGTCTGAGAAGTCTACACTCTTTCATTCGAGAGGAGAATACAAAGAGGTCCAAGAAACTTAAGAGAGAGTCGAGCTCAGTTCTGAGGACACCAGAGACGGGACGGATCCAAAACAAAGATCCAAGAAGTGATTCAAAGATTCTGGAGATTACTTATGAAGATCGATCAAGTGTTAGGTTAATTAAGGACATTACATCTTAGAAGTCCTGGTATCTATGGTTCAATAACATTTTAGGATGTGATTCAATTAGACTCGCTCTTCTTAGCTATAGTTTTCAGTTTTGTTTCTTGCAAAATCCCACTTGTAGCTGAGATTAGTATAGTAGAGGCGTATAGCTTCCATCATTCCAAAAGATGCAGGAGAAGTAAATGATGAGGTTCTCAATAGCTCGTAGGAGCTAATCTATTTGAGCAACACTCTGCTAATACGTAGGTTATTCCACTAGTAATTATATTATTACACATAACATAAGATAATGTGCAAAATCAAATTATTTCCTGCATAATAATAATGAGGAATATGACTCTTTAACATTTTAATAAATTTTGTTTATCGAACATATTTTCTTTTTGAGTGATTGTTTTTTTGTAACTAAATTTATTAAAATATTGACTAATTGTTTATCGAACACTTTTGTTGAAAAGTATGATGCTAATAAGTCCAAGATAATCTTTTGACGAAAAAGTCCAATTAAGACAATCACTCGTCCGCGAACAGTACTGTGGAATACATTTTCTTTCAAATGATGAGCTTATGAAAATCATGACTGTCCACTTAATTTATAATAGAATTCCCAAAGAGTTAACTTACCTAAGCGATAAAAATAAATTTTAATAAGCTCACAATTTTAGATTTATAATAACATAAATAAAATATAGTCGTTCTAACATACAACTACATATATACTTTAATGCTTTATTTTTAATACATATATAAAGGCCACCAAATTTCATTAAGATATTAAGATATCTAACATTACTTTGAGTTTAAAATGGCAACCGCGATTCAACATTATCTTTATATTTGATAGTGTAGTTAATTAAATACGTCATCAGACAAGGTTATGACATCGCACACGATGTATTATATTAGTCATCATTAGAGAAAATATTATAAACTATGCAGAAAATATCATAAAGAATGCAGACTTTTCTTAGATCTTTTGTCGTCAAGTTTTTATTAATTTGTCGACAAATTTTTTTTTTTTATTAATTTTAGTAAATATATTTGCGACAAAGTATTATTTTAAAGATCGAATCAAATTAATTATTCAAGATATTTTTTCTTATATCCGACCCATTAAGTTTAGTCGCAAAATGTAGGTGTCAGGACTGTATAGTTTGTGGTGGTGTAGACTGTAGATATAAATTTTATTTTTGTTCTATTATAGTAACTTACTAAATTAGAGTAATACTTTCAATTGGTTGTATGAAAATCCTATTTATAGGTATGCATTAACGATTACAAACATCTGTTTTGTGTTCATCAAAACTTGCTTAGTATTTGTCGTATGTATGTAATCTGAGAAACGTGATGTCTGTATGAGCTTCCCAAATTGATTACAAACATCTGTTTTGTGTCATCAAGACTTGCTTAGTATTTGTCGGATGTATATAATCCGAGAAACGTGATGTATGTATGAGCTTCCCGAATCAGACTTTTGGGATTAACCTTTTTTATTTCTTTTGGGAGAGAACTATATGAAAACTTAAAGAAAAGACATTAAGTTTTCAAAATTTTACGCAAAACATATTTGGCTTTTCATAGGAATCAAAGTCTAATTAATCAACCCTGTTAGCGTTTCTTAAATCCAAATAGCCACTTCACTTTCCCATTGAATAATAAAAAATTCAAACTTCTGAAAATATGAAAATGGACCCATGACGTTTTACACAGTACTCTCCATAGTTGACCTCGAATTAGTGAGTCCAGCCACAACATGAGTTTGGTTACACATTGACATCAAAACATTGAAGAGGATAAAAACAAAAAGCACCTATTAAAAAATAGTTCTTATCCAGTTATAGCAGACTCGTGCTCTACCCATATCTTTTCATTAAATTCACAAAATATCTTAGCTGCTCAAACTTTACGTTTAACTACGACCAAAATGCCAGCTTGGTTAAAGATATGTTCTTATCCAAAATCAAAAAGTTAACTAGTTTAGGGTAACTAATACACGTTTAGATACATCAGACTTCCAAATTTAGAGTCTGGTCCAGCTGTTATAACACACGTACTTACTTAATTAGGGTCTGTAATTAGAATCATTGATCGGATCTTCAGTACTTTTGTCACAAAACAAACTTTCTATAAATATATAAAAATCTAAAAGGATGTGGATGACTCTTGTCCATTGGATTCAAATAACTAAATCCTCTCTTTCAAACCTACTTGTGGCTATCACGAGTACAGTATTTTCTATATATAATCAACGAATCTTCTTTGGTAGTGAGATAGAGATTACCAAACACATAACTAACTTTCAGACAAAAGCTTACATCTGGGAGAGACATTAGTTAAAGTTTTTAAACTCTAATAGTATTCTAATTAATTAATCATGGCCGACCAAATCTCCAGCGAGAATACGTCAGAAAGTCCGACCAAGAAGCCGACCGATGAGAACACCGGAGTTAATAGATTTGCACTTCAATGTGCTATTGTTGCCTCCATCGTCTCCATCATCTTTGGTTACGGTAAATATATTATAAGAACTAAGAAATCTCCAAGTAAAAATCAATTTTATTTTAGTTCCATAGGGATTTTAATATGTATAGCTGTGTAACATTTTTTAATATTCGTTTGCATGTATTAGAAAATACTCCATCCGTTTCAAAAAGATAAACATTTTAGAAATAATATTTATTTCAAAAAAATGTATTTTTTACATTTTGAATATATAATTTAATGAAAACTTATAGATTTAAAAAAAAAAACTAATTGTGTTTCTTAAGATTTTATTCGTTTAAAAATATATGGATTTGTTATCTATAATAAATGATGTATTGATAATCAAAATTTTATGTTTTTTCTTAATATGTGTGAAAAAACTAAAACGTTTAATTTTTTTTTTAAACTGAAGGAGTACTTGCTAAAGTCTATTAAAAAACTTTTAGTTATTATTTTATTTTCTTTATAAGAATCATATAGTATTATACTATTATTCATTTGTGATCATGATGGATACGTTGTGTATATAACAGATACTGGAGTTATGAGTGGAGCCATGGTGTTTATAGAAGAAGATTTAAAAACAAACGAAGTTCAAATCGAAGTTCTAACCGGAATTCTCAACCTCTGTGCCCTCGTCGGTTCATTACTCGCCGGAAGAACATCAGACATAATCGGACGACGTTACACAATCGTCTTAGCCTCAATACTCTTCATGTTGGGCTCAATACTAATGGGCTGGGGCCCAAGTTACCCTGTTCTCCTCACCGGTAGATGCACAGCCGGTCTAGGAGTCGGTTTCGCCCTAATGGTTGCACCGGTTTACTCGGCAGAGATAGCAACCGCTTCACACAGAGGACTCTTAGCTTCTCTACCACATCTTTGTATTAGTATAGGGATTTTATTAGGTTACTTAGTTAATTACTTCTTCTCCAAGTTACCTATGCATATCGGTTGGAGACTTATGCTCGGTATAGCCGCGGTTCCGTCGCTAGTTTTAGCGTTTGGGATCTTGAAAATGCCGGAGTCCCCGCGGTGGTTGATTCTACAAGGACGTCTCGGAGAAGGGAAGAGGATACTAGACTTGGTTTCAAACTCGCCTGAAGAAGCTGAACTAAGGTTTCAAGATATTAAAACCGCCGCTGGAATTGACCCTAAGTGCAAAGACGAGGTTGTGAAGATGGAGAACAAGAAGACACATGGAGAAGGTGTTTGGAAAGAGCTTATCTTAAGACCAACACCTGCTGTAAGAAGAGTTCTTTTAACAGCGTTAGGGATTCATTTCTTCCAGCACGCGACAGGAATCGAAGCCGTGTTGTTGTACGGTCCGAAGATCTTTAAAAAAGCGGGAATCACGACTAAAGACAAGCTTTTCTTGGTTACAATCGGTGTCGGAATCATGAAAACGACTTTTATCTTCACAGCGACTTTCTTGCTTGACAAGGTAGGTCGGAGGAAGCTTTTGTTGACCAGCGTTGGAGGAATGATTGGCGCGTTGACGATGTTAGGGTTTGGGCTTACGATGGCCCAAAACTCTGGCGGGAAATTAGTTTGGGCTTTGGTGTTGAGTATAGTCTCGGCTTATAGTTTTGTAGCGTTTTTCTCTATTGGGCTCGGCCCAATAACTTGGGTGTACAGCTCTGAGGTTTTCCCGTTGAAGCTTAGGGCGCAAGGAGCGAGTTTGGGAGTTGCGGTGAATAGAGTCATGAACGCTACCGTGTCGATGTCGTTTTTGTCGTTGTCTAAGGCGATTTCGACGGGTGGAGCTTTCTTTATGTTCGCTGGAATCGCGGCGGCGGCGTGGAACTTCTTCTTCTTCCTTATGCCGGAGACGAAAGGAAAGTCGCTTGAAGAGATTGAGGCGCTTTTTCAAAGGGACGGTGATCATAAAGTACGTGGCGAAAACGGCACAGCTTAGTGTTTTTAATTTCTTTTGTGGTACGATGTTGTTTTAACGTGTTGTAGTTGTACGACACCATTTGGATGTTCGTTGTATGATGTGGCTTTGATCAAATTATATAAAAATGGTCACGATCAAGTTACAGTTTTAGTATTAGTTACCATTTTAAGATCAATGGCTCGTATTAGTGAAAGAGAGTGAGCTTTTGAATCGAGCCGTATTACACTTTTTCGCTTTTCGCGAAGAAAGAGGAAGATGCCTTGCCGAGGAAGAAGGAACACTCGGACATCCTCCTCGAGATGATAGCTCTTATCAATCTAAAATCTCGGAATTTTAAAATATTTATACTCGTCAAACGAATCAAATACAACAATTATATTTAGTCGAAAAGTTAAACACGATTTTTATATCCAGCCGGAAGGATAAATTAATTAATTAGGAGATTAAAGTTTTTAAGATCAGAGCATTGATACCATGTTAAAGGTATATGAAATTCCAACTTAAAATCAATTGGTAATTACTGGATTGGTCCAATTATTATATGTTACTCATTACTCATGTTTCATTCATATTTTCAATGTGGAATCTTCTCTCCAATTAGTTATGTGTTCTTGAAAATATTATCGAATTTCAAATAACTATACCTTACAAATGAAGTATCTTGAACTAACAGTCTGTGGATATTTGGTTGAGTCTGGACATATCAGCAATGCAGCTACCAATAGGAACTAGGACATGTGTATACTAGGTTTCTAAAACTTGAGTCTTTGCCGGAAGGAATCTAGCTACCGTGATGATCTACTATCTTGTTTCTCTGACCTTTGATCTTATCATTTGTCCTGGTTTGTATGCTAGATTTTCTAAAGCTTGTGTGTCAGCACTTACCAGTAGCTCTGAACTTATGCTGTATAACCAACCACCCTTGTGTGTTTGATGAATTGGGCTTTGTAACAGCCCAATTACTTACATGACCGTTATATGTCTTTGACTTTTTGCTGTTAGTCAAAATTTAGAAAATAAACAAATAAAATTATAAAAAAAATATGGAAGAGTCGTGAAGGAAATTGCAAGGTATATTCCGTTTTCAAATAAAGAAAACGTGTTGTAAGGAATTGGTAAAACGCCAACAACTCATATTTGCTGTCCACTTTCCTTTAAAATTATTATTTTTCTGTCGTGTAAAACATCCACCGTTGATCTTATATCTAATTATTCGATCTCGTCCGTTGATTAGGCCTAACTCTGTGTATAAAGATAACGCATTCATCTCCTTGTTTTCCATCCATACCCGTTTCTCTTATTATTCTTTTCAATTTATTTATTGGTGTGTTCATCGTTTTCTCTAGATCTCTCTATGCTATGTCAACGTATTGGAGTCTTTCTGATTTGGATTGTTACAGATAATCTCTCTCAATCACGTATCGGCATGGATCTAGCTGCTAAGGTTTCTGATTCATGCCAGAATACGGATCTTAGCGGCTGATATCTCTGAGGATCGGTTGAATAAGCTGGTAATTATGCTCTTATCGTAGCATGATCTGATAGCTGATTTTAAAATTCGATTTGATTCCTTATAATAGTATTGATTTTTTTCTGATTCAGATTCCCAGATCTGATGTTGGATCGTGATTCATGATTTCGGCAGTAAGATTCGTCGTCAGATCTGTGATTTTAGTTGTGTATTGATGCGGCGATGATGAATCCGGTCAACTCTTGATTCTGAAGTGGAGAGCAGATCGAAGAAGAGGGAAGAGGCAGAGGAGGAGGAAGATATGTGGTTTGATATGAGTATGAAGGATGATGTATGAGATGTTTGTTAAGGACGATAAAGCCCTTTGATGAGAGAGGCTTTGAGTTCTGAATTAGCATCTTTGTCATCCGACCTTTGCCATGACAGGTGCGCTTGCATGGCAGGTCACAAAACAATATCCCTAATAAAAAAAAAAAAGTTTTGTGTTGTTGGTGAGGGGAGTTCGCACGGGGACTTATATTTTTAGCCCGGGTTCTCCCCCTCACCTCGTGTCTTGCATTCACTCTCTCACTCACTATCTGATTCTTTTGATCTCAAATTCAACAAAATATCTCGATACAGAGACATATTTTGAATGGATCCAGATCTTACTATTGAGCGGATCTGGAAACGCCTGCCTAATCCAACATACTCCCTGGAGAGACCAAAAGGTACTTTAATTTTAGTTTCGATTCTTCCTTCAGCTGTTTATTCGCATTACATAACTTATCTAACATCAAACCGGTTTTAATTTTTTTACGCATGGGAGGAATAACGATCATAACAATTTAAAACTATGAACAACCATTATCAAGTATCAACAAATATCATATAGCTTGTTAATTTGTACTACTTTATGATTTTTCACGTTTATATTAAATGCTCACCGTTGGCTATTTACACAAGTGATATGAATTTTATATCCTCTATATCTATGTACTCCGGAGCTGTTTGTTTGTGACAACACTATTTGAAAACTTGTGTTACTTTTATACTGAAGAATAGATTATCAGATACAACATTTTTTGCATCACTTGTAAGCACTTTGTACCTGTATCTTGGATATTTTAGTGTTGCGAATGGATTGAAAGACTTTGTGATGTTCCCGGCTGTATTGATACATATTCACAGATGCTATGGATAATTCTTCCCTCAAGACAAGTCTGTCTTTATATGTTGAAGCTGTGAGGTATATTGACAAAGCAACTTTTTTATTCTGTTTGTACAAATCCCCACAGCTCTTGTTTCCAATTCGAGACAGTACTTCTTTCTTGATTTTAGATGAACGTTAAATTGTATATTGTAGTTACAGTGTTTGGAACGCTTATTATGATGGAATTTGTTATCTTTTGATATAGTAATTACAGTTTTCATTAATACATTGGTGTTGGTTTATATGTTATGTAATAATTCTTAAATAATTCTTGACCCCTATATCTAATGGGTTAGTTAACTTCGGCGCTCTATTGTTGTTAATAGGTTTACTTAACTAGGAATGTGAAGAAAGATCGGAGAAGACATGTCTGTGATAAGGGTCCAGGCATTCTAACTAAGTTGGCAAGGTTTGCATTAGTAGATCTGTAAGCTCAAAATGGTAGAGCTCTCTTTACGAGAGGTTGGTGGTTCGAATCCACCCAGATCTGTCTACTTCTTCCCATGTCTTTTTTCACCCTTTTTTTACATTATCTTAATTTTGAATTCAGTTTGGTTATATGATATCAGTGTTATAGCACGTATTGTTTCGGCATGTGAAAAACTAAATGGTTTCAATAAATGACCTCTTTTTGATTTGTCAATTGGCACGAGGGAAAGATGAATTGGGGTGAAGATGATTAACTATGTGACTTGGACTGCAAGCAACTAAGCAATGACTCTTAACCACAAACGGTCACACAAAACAAAGTTAATATGGCCATCTCTATGATCATTTGTTTTTGGACATTGAAACGACTAAACAAAAAAGAACAATACTTTGGGCCCTAAATTTTGTATACAATGAATTAGCAGATGGAGAAAATGACCAAATGGACTTCCTTAGTTTATCTCCTGTGAGCACAATGAAAATCACTCCACTTTTGCTGAGAGCTTGATGATGATCACTATGATTTTTCGAGCTAGATCATGTTGTGTGTTTGGTAAATGGTGTTGTTGTTGTGACTGGCGAGACAAGCAAGGAGTTACGTTAATTGCACTGTCTGTGGGCTAGTAAAATTGATATGGAACGCTAAAGTTTTTATGTGGCAACGTAAATTATTGACAATGTAACTGCCCGACTACTCTTTTAACTTAATCGATGAGTTGTTTTTTTTTTGTTAATATCAAGACGAAGGATATTACAATATTCTTGTAGTGTTACCTGTATTCTCGAGATGACTCGATCGTGAATAATATTCTTTTACGGAAGAGATTTAAAAATTTAGTATAAATTAAGGGTCGGATTGACGTGACATGGTGTAATAATATGCCATTTAAAACTGGTCTAACGTCAATGCTGTTGATTTAATCAAAGGACAAAACCATATAATAATATGCAAATTATATTATACTAATTTTAACTGCCACGTAAATTAGTTAACGTCTTTCCCTACGTTTCTAGCCTTTTTATTAGTCCTCTAGAAGTGGGAATACTCTGCGTCACGACCAAACCCAATTGATCGTTTTCTTGATCACTAATACAAAGAGATCCGTATCATCAGGTTAGGTCCTCTTTGCATTTTGATTTTGATTTTCATTCTGTTCTTGTTTCTCCATCGTACGTGTTATTGAATTGAACAAGGCTCCTACCATTTTCAAGTCTCTCTCTAATCTTCGCTCGTATTGGATTAAAACTCTGTTTTTGTGAAACCTAATTTCGATTTTTATTTCTGTTATTAGTAATATAATTGTTATCGTTTGCCGTTTATAGGCTTTGAAGCTGTCCTCCTTAGAGATTGAAGATTTTTAATCAAACATGAGTTCTTACCAACTTGAGGATAATTCTCAGCAAGATAACAAGGTGCAACTATCTTAATTTAGTGGTTAACATAATTTGCATTAAGCATTAGTAATTATAATAATTAATAAAACTTCTACAAAACGTTCAGGTTAGTAAACTGAAATCTGCATTAGGACCACTCTCAGGACATAGTTTAGTTTTCTGCTCTGATGCTTCCTTGAGGAGATATTTGGATGCTCGTAGCTGGAATGTTGAAGATGCCAAGCAAATGATTGAGGAGACTCTTAAATGGAGATCAACATACAAGCCTCATGAGATCCCTTGGGTAACTTCAACATCTAATGACCAATTAATATATGTTCATTTTTTATTTATTTTATTCTCTGATTATCTCCAGCATGAAGTAGCACATGAAGGTGAGACTGGAAAAGTTTCAAGAGCTAGTTTTCATGATCGTCAAGGAAGGACTGTGCTTATAATGAGACCAGGTTTACAGGTAATTTAATCGGTTTTTCGGCTATTTTTAATCTGTTTAAATGTTTATTTTTTATATGTAAATGTCTCTCAACTTATCTTATGAAACAGAACACAACATCAGCAGAAGGTAATATCAGACACTTGGTGTATCTTCTTGAAAATGCAATCATTAATCTTCCCAAAGGACAAGAACAAATGTCTTGGCTCATAGATTTTACTGGTTGGTCCATGGCTAATAATGCCCCCATGAAAACAACAAGAGACATTATCTACATTCTACAGAATCATTACCCTGAGAGACTCGGTATGTCCTTTCTCTACAATCCTCCAAGGCTCTTCCAAGCAGGCTACAAGGTACAAAGATTCATCATTACACAATAATAGTAAAAAAAGAAAAAAAGAAGCTCTTTAGAGAGTTATCATTTTATCTACTCTTCAACCTATAGGCCGTTAAGTACTTCTTGGACCCAAGAACAGCTCAAAAGGTGAACTTCGTGTATCCAAAAGACAAAGCAAGTGATGAGCTGATGAGATCACACTTTGATATGGAGAATCTGCCCAAGGAGTTTGGAGGAGAAGCAACACTAGAGTATGACCATGAGGAATTCTCAAGACAAATGTTTGAAGACGATCTTAAAACCGCTAAGTTCTGGGGGTTAGAAGAGACACAGTATCTGAAACCAAACGGTTTCTCTCCAGCTGATGTTGTTCCTGAGCCGGCCACATCACTTGCATCAGTAGCTAGCTGAAAGTTGAATCTACATATAAACACATAAACAAGAAGAGAAGATTAATAAAGGGATTGAAATCATTGATCAAGAACCAATAAAAAGCGTTCTGGTAACTTTGAAAATTAGTTAGCCAAAGACTTTCTCAATGTTCTAGTTAGCTGACACTTTCCTTGTCATTCAAGTTAATGTATGTTTGAGAATATTGTCACCATGTCTAATTGTTTGTGTTTTATTAATTGAAGATTTGAGTCATCCTTTTGGTTCTAATTTTTCTTTTTAATTTAGCTATGAAATATTTGCTCAATTTATTTCTGTCTGCTACAACATAAGGACGTTCATTTGGCTTCACATGACACATAATGAAATGTTAAATGATACTCCCTCCATTTTCAAAAATATATGTTTTAGAATTTTTAACATATTAATAAATCATCTTACATCCTGATTATAAATAAACTATTTTATGAAGATCTTGTAACATCTATGTGTTGTTCAAACTATTTTATATTGGATACCTATAAATACACTCTCATTTTTTGCAAACATCTTCCAAACTATATTGATTATAAATAAACTATTTTATGAAGATCTTATTATCAAACTATTTTGTATTAATAAATCATCTTACATTATATCATTAGTTTAAACAAAATTTTAGTGAAGATGTTGGAGCAAAACTTACATAACAGTTTCTTCTACCTCAAGCAAAAAAGCTTTAGAGAAAGTGCGGAGTCTTGAGCAAGTAGATATCCCTAACCATCCCTTTACCCATTTTGCCTACAGCCTTTAACATCTCTATTGGATTAAGTTTCCACTTCATCTACATCTCGTTTCTGTAAATCAAACATTGCACAGTTTTGCTTTGATTTGTCTCATGTTTGTTTCTGAAGTGTTAAGAAAGACATTAGACGTTTTTTTTTTTGTTTTTGTTACCTTTGAATTGTGTTGAGTCCAAGTTAAACCAACGACGTCGCCTCCTATATGATCATACCACGCCTTCAATGTCCCAGACTCTTCCTGCAGACAACCAGACAAGATAAGAACCACAGTGATCAATTGAGTAACTTTTAATGTTCTTTTTGTTTAGATTAAAAAAAACTTGTTACTTGTAAATTGTAATACCAGCCAGCTTTAGTGCAATGCGTGTTCTTACAATATCAGCTTACTTAACACGTTCGCACTGGTTATCGCGGGTCTGATGTGAAATTTCTTCTACAGTTCAAAGGATTTTTTTTTTTTTTTACAGTTCAAAGGATTGCACCATTGTCGAGCATATTAATTGGATTATTATTAATGAGTCGGTGTTAGATTTAAAGACAATAATGGTTATTGTTTTATTACATATATGCATTTTGGGTCGGCTACAGCGAACTATATGAGGTAACTTACTAGTAGTCTTTTTGGAGGTCGTATTAAATTAGTAATGCAAATTACTTAAGTTGCATAGAAGACAATTGGTCAAACACCATGAAATAATTGATAGAAAAAGAAAAATAAAACTACATACCAGTTGAATTTTTGTTGCCTTCCGTAATACAGCAGATATATATATATATATATATATATATATATATATTTTATTACAGTATTTTGTTTTCTATCATTTTTGGATGGTAAGAAAACACCGTAGGTATGCCGTGTATCTTGCTATTAAACTACTCTAGTTTTTGCATGCATGCACATCAATTACATTGTACCATGATTTTAAATATACCAAGTAATGTACTTTTGTCACCAACATTATAAAATACATGCAAATGGAGGGTGTCCATTAGAATAAGATTAGAGATCACGTGAGTGAAGAGACACGACAAGGAAATGTGAAATTACAAAGTCGAGCACTTAGTGTCTTGGGGTAATCGTTAAGTTTGGTGTTCCAAGAAGCAAATTGTCAAAGTGTGTGTGTGACTGTGTGAGAGAGAGAAGCATATTTTGGGAAAGCGGTGTGGTCGTCTCAATTTAACCAAAAAAACATCAATCTCAAGACCGATCCGATTCTCTTTGTTCCCTCTCTCTCTGGGTCTCTTGATGTTCTACTCCCTCCCGTTACACGTATTTTTGTCCGCTCATGTTTGGCGGCACACGTCCCCCAACAAGATTATCATTTTTAATCTTAAAACTCAATTTTTGTTTTGTTTTGTTTACGTATTACAAACTTAATTGATGGGTAATTAAAAAAAAAGACTAGTCGATGACACCGGACTTATGTTAAAAGTTTCACATCGTAAATATATAAGATGCATGTATCTAAATATTTAATATCTTAGATAACATAATAAGAAAAAATAAATATTAAATAAAGGATTTAATTTATGTACTGAATTTCTTCTCTGGGAATTTTATATAATAAATCTTCTTCTTTGAAATAATTTATATACTGAATTTTCTTCTTTGAAAAAATGTGGTTTTTTGCAGGTAATAAAATGCTGACTGCTAATTTAAATGATCTTTATATAGATCTTATTATGTCATAATAAAACGAACATATGTTACTCTAATGTGCCCAAAAATCGACATAAAACATCCAAAACGATAATAAAGTTTAACTAAAAGAGTTTTGAGGGAATGTGCTAAAATTATGTATCATCTCACAATATAAGATGTACCTTATAACATGAATTGTCAATCCAAAGTTCAAAATTGTACTTTTCAGGTCAGGATTAACCGTTGGTTATACACCACAATAACAGTTCATAAAACATACCTCATAATATGATTTTTGTTTTCCCAGGCTTTTGATCAAACTGTTTTCCGCTTATATAAAACCCAGCTTATTCTTGTCTTGTAAAATTATGTGAAAATAACATAGATCTGTTCTTGGAGGTAACGTAAATTGATCTAAATAAAAGAAAAAGATGATAAATGATAAAGAAATAAGAGCTTTTGTATAGCTACAGACTGCACTCATTTCATGGGCTCATTCTCTTTGTACCCTTTTATTTTATATTTTTAAATTTGAGTTGGAGTTTGCTTCTTTGACTAATCAATAGAATCTATCTCTTGCCAAGCTAAAGAAAGAACACAATGTTGTTGCTTTTAAATCATTGCTAAGTATCTCAACAGGGCCACCTTTACCTTTATCCCTTTATATTTCACTTCTAACCTGAACATTGGCTAGTTTTATTCCTTGACTCCTTAAAAGCACCAATCTTGACCATTAATATCTCTCATGCATTGGCCACAACTATCGTGACAGTGACAATGTTCAAATGCATACAAGACAATTCATCTAAGATAAAATTGAAAATGAGTGTTACATATAGATGATAACGCTATATCTTTCAATATGGAATATAAAACGGACGTTTCTGAACGAAATAAAACTAAATAAGGATGACTCTAGTTATCACACAGATTAAAACCTAAGTGCGGTGAACGTTATAGCCATATGTACATATATAAAAAGACTTGGCAAAAAATGAGAGTGTTGCACATCGACTTGGTGAAGCAAGCGATGACGTGTGGAAGAAGAGGACTGAGATATTCTGCTTTGGAGATGGATGATCGTGATCGGAGAGAGAGAGACCAGATCCTTAGAAGACCGTGACACCCCAGTCACGTGGTCCTCTTTTGACTACATTCTCTCTTTAACTGCAGATTGAGCTTGTCATTATTATTTCCCACTTTATCATTTTAATAATCAAATTTAAATATCCTATTTAATTCATTACAATACTGTAGTTTGCTTAGCAGTGTTAACAACATTTCGTCCATTCAAAAAGTATAGTTTAAGGTGAAATATATATTATTTACAATGTTACAATTACAATGGTTTTTGCACTAGATTTCTTATATTTTTGTTCAAAACCAGTTATATTTGCAGTTACTATAATCTTCTTATTGATTTAATAGAAGCATATTTGTATATATACCCTTTTAATTTGTGTGTCAAAACATCATCATTCATGAAAGAAAATGAATGCGGAATAGTAGTTTAAAAGATATTATAAAACTAATAATGTAAGCTTTTTTTAGTTAAAACCATGATTTGTATACGTTACTTCATTTTTACTTAAATTAGTTTTCTATGTATAAAATTATTAGATTTATTATTTCGATCACCAACCAACCGGACAGTTTTAGTCCGAAATAACGTAACTTCAACAAAAGGTCTCTCTTAGAACTGAACCAAAGACCCAACACATTTAAAATTATTCTCATTCTGTAACATCCTTTTAGACCAAAAAGAAAAGAAAAGCAAACACATCTAAATCTAGAGAATAAACAGAAAAAGAAAGAAAAAACAATATGGATTCAGTTATACGTTACATATATAACACCGGGACCAAGTTTTACTATTTTTGTCGAGTTATACCAAAGCTCTATAAATACTCTCCCCTATCTCCACTTCACAACAGCAACGTGTATTCCTTTGTTTTCAAGCTGACTCCTCTTCACTGTTTCCTTATAACCACCAAACAAAGCAGACACACACATACACTTCTCTTTTCCTCTCTCAAAACACTAGCTCCTTCTAGGGTTTCTACGATCACATACCAACGTGTAATGATGGGTTTCTCAATGTTCTTCTCCTCCGAAAACGACGTTGTCCATCACTCTTCGCCTTATGCTTCTGTTGACTGCACCCTCTCTCTTGGAACTCCTTCAACTCGTCTATGCAACGATGATGATGACCGCAGATTCTCTTCTCACACTTCTAACAATATGTCCAAAGCCTTAGGTTCATGGGACTTCTTGTCGGGTGGCAAGAAAGGCGGTGGTGGCGGCGGAAATAACCTATTGGCTCGCCGTTGCGCTAACTGTGACACCACTTCTACTCCTCTTTGGAGAAACGGTCCAAGAGGTCCCAAGGTATATAATATGTACCAATTACATCAATATTCCGGTCTGGATTCTCAGACCACCTCAAGTTTGAGTAATAGATTAAACTTTCGTTGTAAAAAAAAAACCATATACTATATGGTCCATTATAACTTTATTATTTTTAATTTGGTCAGTCATTGTGCAATGCGTGTGGAATCCGATTCAAGAAGGAAGAGAGACGTGCATCGGCCGCCGGTAACTCTAACTCAGGTGGAAGATCAACGGCGGCTGGTGTTCAGGCATTAGATCATCACGGAGATGCTAATTATTATTACAATAATAATAATCATTATGATTCAACGTCGCCTTGGATTCACCACCAACAGCATAATATGCATAGAGTTCCTTATTATTCGCCCGCGAATAACGAATATTCTTTCGTCGATGATGTCAGAAACGATAATAATGATGTCACGGCTGACCCGTTCTTGTCTTGGAGACTTAACGTAGCCGACCGGGCCAGCCTTGTCCACGATTTTACGATGTGATCGTCACATAGGTTTTTCCCATTAAGTGTCTTAGCCTTGTATACCTTAATTCTAGCAACACCAACAAAAAGAAGTCATAGTCTTGGTCGAAGTATCTAAAGTTACTCTTTATTTCACATCTGTTAAATGTTTTGTTGGTATTTATGTGAGTTTTCTTAATTAAGATTCAGTATCAAAAGGTACTTGTGTGTTCTTTTCAAAACGTTTTGAATGTTCTCTCGGGTAAATAAACGAGTGATAGTTTTACTTACTTTATAACCTTTTCAGTATGTATCCTACTCTGACACGATTCAAGATCAAAACTACTTAATGTAGTGTAGACTTCGTTTCTGAAATATCCTTAAGTACTGGCTTGTACTGTTCTCTTATAATTTCAATTAAACTATTAAAACATAGGATTCCACTTAAGATTAAAGTTCTTATGTAATTACGATGAAATTCAGAAGAACCACAGTTTTTGTCTGATTCTTATAACAAAACGAGCAATACAATAGCCAATATGAATTGGTCTACCGACTACTAGCACTAGTTCTAGTGGAAAACTATCATCTACATTCAGATATGCGTGAATTTTAGAACTTGTACAAACTCATAGTCTTTTGGGTTGTATATTTGTAGAAAACTATTTTTTACAAGTATACTACATATTTTCAAATTGAAAAAAATAATATTATAACCAAATTTAAAAATGAGAAGCAAACAATAATTAATTTGGAGAAACATATCTGCAGGATGGACAAGATGAATGTTTGTCCTTAATGCCCAAATTGTCTTGGAAATTTGACCATATCAGTTAGCTCCGTGTGCTGCTGCTGCTCACTCAACAATTTTGCTGCCACTACATGTGAAGGATATTTTATCATTTTCACAATATATATATGTAAGGAGAATGTTTTTATTTGATTATTTATAACTACTTAAACAGTTGAACAATCGGGTTTGAACCTCAGTATCCAACAACTCACCAGATGATTGCTCTCAACACTGATATTGTATTATGTGAAGGTGGAAAAGAAGCTGCAGTTAGAGTTGTTGTCGTTAACTGTGATTTACATGTTTCTTCAACTTTTCTTTTTAGTGAGTTCTTCTTGTCAATCATATCTGTTTTCAATCAGATAATTTGTGTGGACCAGGTGATTCTCAACACATTGGTGAAACCAACTCAATGAGTTGTCGACTACATGACTGTCGTTACCAGTTTCACGGCCGAAGGTCTAGAAAAAAATCAAAATTGTGGCACATAATCTCATACACAATTCAACGTGTTTTTTTTCCGCTTGATACTATAATGGTTGGTCATCATATGAACAATGACCTTTTAGTCGGTTTATTTTATTGGTTTCAAAAGTATATTGAACCTTTAGATATTGATCTCAGCATTGAAAATTCATCATGCCCGATTGATAAACACTTCAGTTGTTTGAATTTTCTCTACAAAATAAGCATTGAACATATCTGGTTTTGTTTTTTTACTTGAGAACTAGTGTAGCCTACTGATACTCGATTCTTTTTATGCAGTCAATAATGAGATATGAGCCCAACAATTGCCTTCAAAAGGCAGAAGCTGCAATGAATCTTGTGCTTAAAATGGTGGAGAATAGAGCATATACATCCATTTATCCTGAAGAGGTGAGAGCTTAAAGACATGAATCTGTATTTTACATAAAATTTAAACAACTAATAATATTTTTTTTTTGTTAATCCTAGACGTTGGAAGCTGAAAACCCATAAAAGAGAATGTTGCTGCACCACCACCACCCTTGATCTCTCCTCTTTCGTCCATCTTGAGCCTCAAAGCTAATCATCGTCTCATCGACTCCATCCACTGATGCTCTTGTAACGGCATAACCGTCCACGTCAGTGCTTACAATATGGGCACAGATTCATTCGTGCCCCCGCTAATGTTGATTTGTACTAGATTGATGCAAAGTACTTTTACATGAAAATAAATAATTGGTAAACATATATAGTTATTGTTAATTGACTTTGATTCTAAATCGTTCCAACCTTTTGTGTATATCAAATAAAGGCTAAACTGGTATTATCTTGTATAAATAGTTAGCATTGTGAATTATTATAAACTGTTCTTACATGTGAAGCATGTCTCTTTATTTCTCCGTTTAACTAGTATGAAAATTTATAAAAAGAAGCAATGTTCTTAGTATTAAGTTATTAGTGCAAAATAAAATAATGAAATTTGATAAAAATAGGTTGCTTACACGCTTAACTAAATGGATATTTCTTTGTCTCCTTCGTTTTTTCTTTGTATTCGGATAGTTTGGGGGCATAAATTTATTTAATTTCTTATAATTATTTTCTATCATCACAATTCATCTATATATAAACTGTTTTTCTAGGCATAGCAAATCGTTTTCTTCTATCAATTTGTTTTTTTATGTCTTAATAAAGACATCGAACCTACACAATTATACTTACGTACGTCTACTCTTTAAACTAACTAACCAATAAGTAAGTGGCTAATGACATAAAACTAATTACATGAATACTTTGATATGCCTAATTATCAAAAACTAATATAAATTTGAACCTTTATTCGCTAAGTCAAAGGACCCATTTCTGATATGCCTTTAGTGAAGTAATATAAATGTAAAAGACTCTTGAGTATGTAGAGAGAGCAGCAGTATCGTTTTCTATTGTTAAAACAGTAAGTAACTAATGTTTATCTAGCCTCTTTTAAATTGCATATGGCAACGGGATTTTGTTCTCCACTCAGGCATGAAAGAATATTTGTAAGATTCGTTTTTTTTAGTATGGCTAAAAAGAGAACTTACGTAAGATATAATTGTTCTTAAAATAATTTTCTTAAATAAAAGAAAATATTCCACGATCCACATTCATATATATAATTATAATTTAAAACTACCAAATACTGAATTTAGTGAATATCCCCGATATAGTATTAAAAACACACCATTTCAGCTAGTTGACAGACGAATTATTCGAACGTACGTACTTGCAAATTTATAAGTTTAACAATACTCATTATATTCTAGTATCTTAAAATATTTTAAGAAAATAAATATAATCCACTTCATTGTACTACATAAATAAAACATAACCAATAAATCTTTTTATATACTGATTCTTTCTGATTGCTATCTTAGGTATTTTATTTGTCGTTGCGCCGTGAATTTGAATGATGAACCGATGAATATAAGTCAAATGGCTACATTTATCTTTGTGTCTCGATTTAAATCTCACAAACTACAATTTTCCATTGGTCTGTGTAGACGTTTCTGATAACAAACGTATTTACGATTTTAAAGTTTGAGATATTAGTTTGTATTCCAGCTCAAAATTTTGTATGACATTAAATCTTGTATGATAGCAATCAGAAAGAATCAATATTCGATCTAGGTAGAATATACAAGGCATGTGCTCTAAAATATTACTTGCATTTTTGTTTTGGTACAAACGAATAATACTCGAGACGAATCAAATTTACAAAGGTGTATATATTGATTTTTTGGGGTGTAAAACCTATAATACTTGTAAGTCTATCAGCTTTTGTTAGTTTCTATCACTCCTTTTTCTTTAGAAATTGTTTATGTCAATTGTCAACCCTTTGTTGTATACTAAGCCAAAACTATATATCGCCAAGTGAAATAAGTGTTTCTCCATTTGCTTGCTACAAACAAGAATATCATACGAAGGTAAGTCCATGTTCAAATTACATGCCATGCAAAAAGTTTCTGCCCAAATACAGAATCGTATATTCTGATGAGACCCAAACGATGCTATACAGATTAATCCATTTAAGAAAGCACCTTCTCTTAATTTGTTAAAAATAAAATCACCATTAACTAAGTTCTCTTGCTATCCATGTAAATTATAATCAAGTTACGCGTCAGATATGAATAGAATTCGAGGTGAACTAGTTTAAGATCTTTTTTTGGTTCAAATAAAACTCGCATTGGTAGATTTATATTAGCATGGAAGTAGAGAATTCTTACATATTCGTATATATTACACAAATAGTAAGTATAAATACATTGATATATCTTTGTCTAGATGCTCTCTTTGTTTCTGGTTTTGGAACCGTGTTGGTTTCAGAAGAACCTGCAATATATATATATGAAATTATAAGTTAAAAGACTAAAAGAGGTAAATACTAAACTAACGACGCATTTTGATACTTTGTTACATAACTTAGGCAATGGAGGTTTTTGCAAAGGTAAATACTAGAGACATGGAAAACGTTGTCATCATGTGGGCTTTCATTATTATTATTTTTTTGCTTAAAAACAAATAAAAAGTTGGACAAAAGGCTGTTCAAGAATGGTTTTCTTAAGGTTAAAAAAAAGAATGGTTTTCTTATGAACATAAGAGTAACAGGCATGGAGATAATGGCCAAATGATCAGTTTCAAGAACTTTCACAAACAATAAGCCAATATTCAAAAAAAAAAAAAAAGAACTCTTTACAGAAATGGGAAACAAACAAACAAACAAACAATACGTGGTGTTTACTAGTAGATCATTAAGAGATTTTTGTTATCATTTTCTTGCATGATTGGTTTGAACAAGCAGATCTAGGTAGGCTGTGAAACAAGATAGACATGTAAGACATTAGAGGTTGCATGACTACTTTTTGAAATGATAATGTTTTTTTTTTATGCATAGTAATAGTTATGATGTGCACCTTTTTGAGTAGCTTAAGTACTTTCAGTTTCCATTTGAACGATAAGTAGGATGCGGATAACGCCCTGACTCAATATCTTTGACATCCTTAATCAGTAGCTCGTAATGTCGCCTTACTTCTTCAGCTGATTTCCCACCAACTGCTCTAGCAACGTTATGCCAACGGTCAGGAGTGTCCTGGTCATATATAGCCAAAGCCCTTTCAAATAGTTTGTTTTCCTGACGTGTCCAAGAAGCGTTAGAACTCGTGGAGTTGGAAGCCATTTAACGAATAAGTATGTATACTGAGTGTACAAGATCGAAAGAGTGTTTCGAAAAGGAAATTTTGGTTTCTTTGGAGGGAGTAAACGAATGAAGATGTATGTGTGAGTTGTTTGGTTGCTTGAGAGGATGAGAAGCTCCTTATATATATAAGAAGAAAGAGCATGGTGTAGGGTTAAGCCAGTTTGATGAATCTTTACTTAAAGAGTGGAAACAACAATCCAATGAAACCTGAGATTCCTTGCCCATGCAATAGAAAATTAATATAAGAGGCTTCTTTCCTTTCTTTACTTGCTACTATCCGTACAGTAAATTAATCCTAAGGAAATAACCATGTTTCGAGACCTTCTCTTACCTCTTTAAGGCTTCTCTTATGTTGTAGTATCCGATGCTTATTTTTAAACACATGAGATTGTGTGTGCCAAAAAAAAAAAAAAAACACATGAGATTGTTAGATTATGGTTGATGCTTTCATGTGATTTCCATCCATTTTTATTTAGATATTTTTTGTCGTATGATTGATACGTTCTCTAAGCGTTCAATGGTCTAGGTCTAGCTGTTTAGTGATATGTCTTTTCAATGTAGTCGATCGAAGTCATATATGGTCATAAATGTAACACCATCTCACTTCTTTTACGGATTCTTGCCATTCTTGTTCTCAGGGCTCTCTCTTATAACAAATTTAGTAATGTAATCATCTGATTGATAGTGTGGAGAATCTGCTAAGGACACAAACCACAAAGCCATTCTTTAAAAGCTTTAAGAACCGAACCTTATTCTTTGCTTTGTCCTCCTTTAATTCTAACAACGAGATATGAAGATTGGTTGATATTTAAACCTAAGTAAACTTGAGCAACTACTTATCTTGCAGACCACTCTTTCTGTTAAGACTTTCACGCATTTGTGCATTTTTAATTATTTATAAAACGTAGATACAAAACAGTATATAAATGAACGATGAATATAGAATCGAATAAATTGTTTTTACATATTTGACAAACATAGTAATTTCGTTGTAAGAAGCTGTTCAGATAAATTCTGCAAAAAAGGTTAAAAAAAACAAATGATATCCATGCAGTGGTTATGAAATATGAAAAAACTAGAGCGATAACTTTCACAAAAGACATGAACACAATTTTAGTTTCTTCATCAAAAGCTTTCACCTTTACTTATGCCCTTTATGCTTATATTTTAACATATTGAGGAAATAAATTAACCGAAGTTAATACATGAACCACGAGTAGGGTTAATGAGAAAAAAGCAGCACTTTTTCGAAGATATTCAGGTTTTCTTGCTTATATTTTTAACATTTGGGTGGTAATAAAAGTGGATCATATTCCATATCTTGGTAAGATCTCGCCGATGAATATTATCGACGACATCTGAGTTTTGGACATTGTTTAATTTCTCTTATTCCTCTCCACTCACTGTATCCATATTTTTTTATTGTATCCATATTATACTTTGAAGAAATATATAATAACAAACATGAAGGATATGGACTGTATTTCTACTTGAAAAAAGTTCATAAAATATATTTTCTCGCAGTATTCTCTATGGTCTATATTTTAAGGTTTGTAATAAAACATTCTTTTGGGAGATACTCTTCTTCTTTCAACTTCACTTGCTCCCTCAACAACTTGTCCTCATGGAATATTATTCTCGACACTTCATGTGGATCCGTACCGTCACTTCTACGCTTCATTGCTTAAACAAGCACTCATATTGTAGACCTATTATAAGGTCTTTAGAACGTCACTAATACGGTAAAATGAACACCAAATTTAATTTGATCTCTTAGTATTCAAACATCACCACGACCACAATTACATCGTGTTCCTTGCCTTTGGTTTTCTTTGATCGTTTTGTGAAGGTAGGATTTTAACTTGCTCATATTTAATCATTTCATTTCATGAAGGTTGGATTTGATATCGAAATTCTAACGTATGATCAGACTTGATATATAACAAATAATATTGTTGTTGTCTCAGTCTAGATGAGGAGGGGGACAAATTCTATTTACTTCTTTATTTGATTAGATTCTGATCTTTCATAGACTCCCCTTTAAAGTGGACCATATTTGACGTTTTGAAGATGCTATCCATAGTAAAACCTCTATTATCATCTCGTTGCTACTTTGTCTTGTTACTTTTTTGTGTGTGATGATAAATATAAAATAAATATGATGTCGCCATTATAAACTTATTATGAAGGCACACAATTAAGTGCAACTGGAATTTCCATTATTTAATTACTATATATGTTCCCGAATCAAGATATTTTGATGTCATCATATCATAAACATCAGAACCTTAACTTTTGTTTTTGAGGATAAAATGTATTAAAAATTATCCAATTTGTATGAAATTTTCCGGAGAAGACTATTTTGGCCGATGCAATATATACTAGATTTTGATTCACGGTTAAAAAGCGCGGTATATTTTCTGTTGTCAAAAACACGTTAAAATAGTTTTTTATAAAAACTTGAAAACATACAAAATTTCCCATTTAAAACCATGAACCTTATTAGACTTGTTTAATTTTAAAATTTTATAATATAGTTGTCAGTTTAGATCCGCGATAGTTGTATTGACTAATTCAAACATGTTTAGATCAATATAAGTTTTTTTGAATATAAATTCTATTTTTAAGTCTGAATATATATTTAAAGTGTATCTTCTAAAAAATTAACTTAAATTCTGAAAAATTGAAAAAATCAAATCTGTTTAAATATGTTTCAATTTTCAGGATTCTGAATGGACAAATGATGCTATAACAATATTTCTTCAACAAGTTATTTTGGAAAAAAAATGGAAAATACCGACGAGAATACTCTAAATAATATTTAGAAAGCTACAATTTTGAAGAATTTCAACAATCAATTTGGAGCTAGTTTGAGTTGGAAACATGGAAAAAAAAATTTAGATCATTTGAAAATACGTTACAACATGTATTACAATAATCCAGAAGCTCAACGACTTCATCCAAATTTCTTTCAATTCATGCCACTTCTTAAAATAGTTTTTGATTATTAAACCGAGAAATACAAAATAAAAATAAAATTTCATTCTAAATACGATTTTCACATTTTTTTTTTCAATTTTGAGATTTTGCATTTTTTATAGGTTTTGTATTAGTTTTTAAAACAATTCACAATCAAAATATATATTTTTAATTTATAATATTCTGAGTTTGTAAATAAATCATAAATATATATTTATAACAGCTACAACTTTTAAAGTTTTTGATGTCAATCAAACTTTAATTTTTTTCAAAAGTAATAGTCAAAGCTTTTAAAACCAAAATAAGTCAAAATTCAAAAGTCAAAACTTAAAGCAAAAAAACGTTATCAATCGGAGCCCCACAAACATATATTATCTTACCATGTATACCGTAGAAGTAAAACATAAAATCCAAACATTCTATGTATACAAAAAGTTTGCAACTATTTAAGTTCGTTAGCAACAAAGAAAAGAAAACACACACAGAACGCACTAAAACAAAATGGCTTTAAGCAGTAAATGTATTTTTCTTGTGTTTTTATGTCTCACTGTTCTCTTGATCCCAGGTATGTAAATTAAATTATAAATTTGTATTTTCTACGTGATATTGTCTTATATATGTGCCCTTACATACCATATACGTTTTTATTGCTACAATATATCAGAATTTATGCATCAATTTAGAGAAAAAGACACATGTTTAAGGATTTTTATGTTTCTTATTACTACACTAATTTCTTTTGTAAACAATATCGCAGAATATGCAAAAGCTCAAGAAAAAGGGAAACCGGTCCTGCTAGGTTCATGCTATGATTATCCGAACTGCAATCAGACTTGCGTTGAATCAAACTATTCTAGTGGAAAATGCGTCCCTTTTGGCATTAATTTTGCATGTCTTTGTTATCCAAAACAATGAGGATATTGCATTTGTGTTATAATATTTTTAATTAAAAAGGTTGCAAGAAATATACTATTTGAAATAAATTTGTTATACAAAATTAGACCTGGAGGTTTGGTTTCAGGCCAGTCCTCTCGGATCCAGATTGGTATGGATGATCTATGATTAAAATACATGTCACGTATTTGTAATTTCAGATTCATATATAGTCGAATCCTGATTGGGTTCATATTCATGGGATCCAAAAAGATCTGAATTCCATCAAAATTTAACCAAAATCCATCACATTTATCTTAATTTTATAGAATAACCAAATATAATTTATTAGTAATTAAAATTACACATTTCGAAGTTTTAAATGTGACATTTAAAGTTTCATATTACTTAAAATGTTATAAAATAATAATGAAAATTGTTAACAAAAATATATTTCAACTATATTATAAACTAAAATATATAAAATAGAACAAATGAAATAGAGTTTCAAAAAAAAAAAAAAAAGAACAAATGAAATCTGATATTCATGTTTTTAGGTCTAGTTAGAATCGATGCTTATCGGTCGAATTCAGACCGATTCTTTTCGAATCATGTTGTATTCAGATTGGTTTGTTCTATTTGTTTCAGTTGACCACGCATTTATATATATAGAAACGAAGAAAAAAAATACAAAGTAAATGCACAAAACCAACCTCACAAACAGTACTTTGAATTGCAATGTCAGTTCTGTAATAAGTTTGACTGTTTTTTTTTTGTGATCATCTCCAAAAAGACTCTTTATTTAAAATTTTGCAAAACTTTATATTTAAAATTTAAAGATGTGTTTCAAAATTAAAATTTCAAATTTAGTTTCAAAACTATTTGTATGTCAGTACATGATGTAAATATGCAATATACAAAAATAACATATTTTTTAATTTATCTAGAAACATGTGGATTAATCCCTACGAAAAAATTGAATTTTTGGAAAAATCTATCTATAATTTTTAGACACATTAGTGTTATTTAAAAATACCTAACTACACTCTCAATGTATATTAATGTATGCTAAACAAATTTTCATGGTATATGGTCATAATTTCTAACTTTTCAACGAATAATTTATT